TGCCATAATTAAAGATATGCGGTGCTAAATGTTTTTAATTATCTTCCATATAACATACTATAATTTGTTAAAGGGAAACAACTCAGATACTTAATGTATAATGACTATTTATTAAATGAAAACGAGAAAGCTATATAGTTCAGTCAGCCACGAAGATGGGCGTGTTGGTAAACACAGCAAGCACCCTGTATGATCAATCGCCTCAATAACACAAAGACCACCGATAAATGTATTCAGAGTCTGAGAATATTTCCCCAAATGTTCGATTTTTTATTTGGTTCACTTTTCTGAGACAAGCCTCCTTAGTGGTCTTGATCGCATTCGTTTTGTCTTTTTCTCTCTTTTAAAATATATAAAATATAAATTAAAATCTAGATTGGCCGTAGTCTTTTTTTGGAACGGTAATCGATTACCTTAAATACTTTGTGCCTGACGATGCTTGTATTCAACTCTCTACACTTGACTACTCGTTAGTGGGCCTATTCGGATCTTTTCCAAACATTGGAATCTACGTTTGTGCCGTGAATAAACTAGTGAATCATAAAATGCATGATCAAGTGGACATGACCAAATTGACGAGAATCCTTCCATCATTATTGTTGACATGGATGTATTTATAGGTTTTGCCATCAAAGCAGCCGTAAAAATAAAAAATAAACATACTTAGTGAACGTAATAAAAAAAAGTAAAGTTAAGTTTCCCTTTCAAACCTGACGGTCCATGGGGCAAGTGAAGTAGAGTTCACTTGTTTCTGTGACCTCGGCATATGAGGAGATAGTGTGGTCAGCACTATGCCCAGCCGCCTTTACTTTCCCTAACGTGAGTTAGGTGGACTCAAGGACGGTCTACTACTTGAACCCGGATTCGAACTCGAGACTTACGGGTTAGCAGTCCAGCTCTCTACCGCTAGACCACTCCGTACCATTGAACGTAAAAAAGAGCTGTATACGGTGTCGAGTCCTGGTTTTAAATCTTTTGGAAAGTTAAAAAGCATTGTAAAATAAAATAATGCTGACGTGATTGAGCTAGTTCATATATTCAATACTGTATAAAAAAATATTAAAATATAATTACAGGAAAACGTTAAAAATTAAAATTGATGAGTTACTATACAATCAGACTAATCCTATGAGCAACTTAAAACGGTAAACTATGTCACATGTATGACATATGACTCTACCGCCCGACAAAAGATTTTATTTTGACCTGTCAGTGACAGTTTCCCCAACTGTTCGATGTTTTGGTTCCTTCTTCCCGAACCAGTGGCGTAGGCAGGGGGGGGGGGGGTTAGGGGGGGGGGTCATAACCCCCCCCCCCCCATAGACCCCTCGTTATATAGAAAAAGTATGAGGGGGGGTGCAAATCGAAAGTTTGAGAGGGGGGGTGCAAATCGAAAGTTTGAGGGGGGGGGTGCAAATCGAAAGTTTGAGGGGGGGGGGGGTGCAAATCGAAAGTTTGAGGGGGGATGCAAATCGAAAGTTTGTCCCCGGAAAAATTGGAACCCCCCCCCCCCCCCCCCCCTTGAGACGATCCTGGCTACGCCACTGTCCCGAACAATCCTCTACTTGGTTTTGATTGCCTTCTTTTTGTCTTTAAGATATATAAAATACTAGATCTACATCTAAATCTGATCTAAGCACATTCTGCCTGATGAGGCAGCACCCACCCCACAACAATTCGCAACTAATTAGTGGGCCTATTAAGATGTTTTTTCCTTCAAACATTGGAATACATTTGTACAGGGGAGAGAACAACAAATACATGGGTGACATGTTTGCAGATTTTCGCTACTAAACATAATACAATACATTGTCTCCCATATTCGTTCATCCAGTTTTGTAAATATGGCTGTAAGGGAAATAACTTATATTTTAATAGGTAGAGTCAACAGAATAATCTAACATGCCCCGCAAGACGATTGCGAAATATGAAACAATAACATAAATAAACATATTTTATATTTCTTATTGGAAATGCTCAAATTTAATTTTTCAAAATCAATTTAAAATTTTCAATATGATTATATCCTATAATAGAACACAGTTTTCTTTCTTTAGAGTTATTTATTTTAAGTGTATCATTGTATATCAATCGTTGTTATATATAGTTCAATTTCCCTTCATCGCCATCGTTTTAATCATCTCTAAAGCTTCTGACTTTTTTTTTTTTTGTTTTTTTTTTCTGACTTGAGCTCATCTACAAGAGAGGTTATGGAAAAGTCAACCACCAAAGGATTCCTTCGACTGACAATTCCATTATTGAAAAGGAACTTGGCGCCCAGAACATGATTTGCATTGAAGATTTGATCCATGAAGTGTTGACTGTTGGCTCAAACTTCAAGTATGCCTCCAACTTCCTTTGGCCCTACAATCTCTCCTCACCCCTTGGAGGATGGCGTCGCAAGTACAACCACTACAATGATGGTGGTGACTATGGCTTCAGGGACACCACGATTGATGCTCTTGTTAAGCAGATGATTTAAGCCTAGACATACATGGGTTCTGCAACAAAGGAATGTCGTCTGTAAAATTAAACAAACTAGATTTACTGGAATAAAATAAATAAAGCTGAGAAGCGTGGAAAGCGCCAAGTGCTACTAAGGCCAGCATCATAAGTGATAGTTAAATTCCTTGGTGTAATGATGAAACATATTTACATTGGAGAATTCGAACAGATAGATGATCATAGGAGCGGCAAAATTGTTGTTAATCTTACTGGCAGATTAAATAAGTGTGGTGTGGTAAGTCCAAGGTTTGATGTTTACATCAGAGATATGGAAAAGTGGACCAACAACCTTCTTCCCTCCATGCAGTTTGGCTTTATTGTATTGACTACATCCAGTGGAATGGTGGATCATGAGGAAGCAAGAATAAAACACTTGTAGGGGGGGGGCAAGATTTTAGGGTTTTTCTTTTAATGTCATGCTGCACTGAATAAATCTTTTTAAAAAATGAAAAAAAATTAAAATAAATGACATCCTGCTTATTATTGCATCGCAGTGTGTGAGGACCAAAACATTGAAAAAGGCTGCCATTGAAAAATAATACACCAGGCTCACTACTGATTTTCACTCTAACAAGAGAGTATGTGAAGACATTGCCATTATACCAAGCAAAAAGCTCAGGAACAAGATTGCTGGGTTTGTTACACATTTGATGAAGAGGATCCAGAAAGGCCCAGTTCGCAACATCTCTGTTCAACTTCAAGAAGAAGAAAGAGAGAAAAGATAACTACGTCACTGGGGTATCAGCCCTGGAACTTAACATAACTGAGATTGATCCAGATACAAAGGAGATGTTGAAGGCTCGTGACTTTGCCAACCTACCTCATTTGCAACCCCTACCTTTGCTGGTAGAGCATAACCTAGAGCACCACCTATAGCACCACATGCTCTTGACTTTGCCAACCTCTCTCATCTACAAGTGACACAGCCAACTCACATCTCTGCTGGTAGAGCATCACCTGCTGGTCTGAGAACTTTAATTATAGCTTTGTAATGAAGTAAATAAATGATCAAACTCTTGAAAAAAAAATCTGGATGACATCCTGTATGTGGATGACATCCTGTTTACTGACCTCTGGGTGTCACAACCAAGACTATACGCTAGTCGGTGTATTTTAGATGGACCTTCTTCTTCCTTTTGATCATTTTCAAGTGCCAACTTTAATAGAGTATTGACCCCCCCCCCCCCCATTTCCCCCCCCCCCCCCCCCCACCCCGTCTTTGCAACCTTTTTCCGTCACATTTAAGAGCAAAGCATTCAATGATATAATCAGTGTTTCTTCCATACTTTTTTTTCTCCAAGGGGGGGGGGGGGAGGAGGGGCTTGAAAATTTCGGGGGGGGGGGGGGGCGGACTATGTCAAAAAGTATATATTTTCTATATAAATTCCATTCCGTTCTGGGGGGGGGTAGACTTACTTCGGGGTGGGGTGGGGACTTCGCCCCTCCGAAGAGATGCCTGGAAGAAACTCTGGATATGATCTATTTTGGTCCAACATTTAGTGTTAATTAATACGATTTATAGTCAATTTTATTCATGCATGCTAAATATACAAGCCTGTAAATCGTTCATTGAAGAACAAGTGCCAGAAAGTTTAGTAATCGCTGCTTTAAAAAAAAACATACGGGGAGATAAGTCGTTCAACGTATGATGGAAGGTAAACATAGGTGACACCGGAAGAAAACAAACTTGGATTCTCTCCCATCTTTGAAATCGTCCGCCCACCGAGGTCATCTTGTCAATCCCCACGTCTCCCGCCCCTTGTAGCTGTCACTTGGTCAGCAGTCTGGGGGGTGGGGGGGGGTATGGTCATATGGACCAGATTTTCTTTCCATTCCTTTAGCTTATCGTACTTCTGCCTCCAAGAAATAATTGCTTTTGGCAATGGAAAATACAAATACGACATGATTCCCGAACAGCTAATTAGCCCGTGTCATATCCAGGTCTGCTTAGTACTGAGTTCTATTAGCAAACGGCGATAGGTTTAGTCCAGCTGGTTGAGCAAGTCATGTGATATGTGTCAGCTGACATGTCTTTTGAATACTATTTTTGTTAAATTGTAACTTTTCGCTACTTTTAAATTTTCCTCACAAAGCAAGTTTGAATTACGTGATTTTTCTCCTATTGAGAGAGTGATGTTTGAGATATTGTTAATGGTTACCAACAACAAAAAAATTAGCTGCGGCCCTTTCGGTTATTACATAATAAACTTCATTTAAATTTAATTTAAACAATAGAAATTAGGCTTACATTTTTAAACGAATATAATTTTGTCTTTTGGGATTCATTTTCTTGTTAACTTTTTTTTCAAACGCAAAATATTCAAAACACTTTTAAAGTAGTCGTTGAAAACATACGTATGTGGTAGTATAGTTTAGGCCTAGCACACTGTGGATGTTGCTGAGCTAGCAAACTACACACTCCCTACATGACCTAAACACATCCACATTGCGACACTAAACACAGATTGAAGTAAACAAAAACTCCTCTTGTCAAATTTGGATCATATTTTAATAACAAAGCCAGTAGGTCAAGTAAATAAGGTTTCACATACAGGCTCAACAATACTGTATTACATTCATTTTTTGTGTATTAATTAATAGAGAAGCTAAGTACTACACATTATATATTTACAGTATGAAACATCAGAAATTTATATTTATATAATACAGCAAACATGCTTAAGGTATTATTTATGTACACGATGTTTTTAATTATTTGATGTCAAACTAAATGTGTATACAAATATGTACACACTTTATTTTAATGTCACATATTTACATTTTTTTTAAATTTATTAATTTAATTAACATTAGTACAAGAATCTGAATATCAGGTTCAATGAATATGTGATGGCATTTTGAGACAGTTTTACTGTAAAAGTGACAAGGCATTGGTGTACAACATTGCTGTAAAGTGTCTGTTAGTTGTTGGCTATAAATATATATCTAGCAACGTGTGCTTTTGAAACTAAAACAAGCAATGTTGTGATCAATCATTTAAGTACTATTGCAAAAAAAAAAATGTGATTTAATAATGCAAAATTGAAGAATATTTTACGTAAACCAGGATGCTATCTTGCATGCATTCATTCATCTCATTTAACATTCTCAATCACAGCGCTTATTCATATACCCAGCTTCAACCCATATTTACATTTCTACATTAACTTAGCCCACATTCAGGTATACTACTACAACATCGCATAACTCGTTTCTCAAAATAATCACACATACAATTTCAACCCCAAATTCGCTCAAGTATGTCAACATAATTCTCTCACCCAATCACCATCTTATTATACATATCTTTAATAGTAACAACATTTTAAATGCAACAACGAAAAATGACTGAATTTTAACAGAAAAAAGCAAGGGAGGTTATTAAGAAAAAAAAACAAGGGAAATAACTAACACATCTGTAAAACCTTTTACGTGCGTTTCTATGGAGCCTTTAAGCTCCATGTTGCTAGTGGACTCGTGTTTTAGATAAAGAGTTAGTTAGTTACTACTCGCTCTATAACCCCACAAGTAGTTTCATATGTTGGTTGATAAATAAGCGAAAACAATATATCAATATGCGAAATATTAAGTAGCAATTTAACATACGTCTCATATAAAACGATTATAAATATTATTTTCACAGGCAAAACAAAAAGCAATTATAAAACACGTATAATAAAAGTATAAAGAACAACCAAAATTTTAAGATATGTTATTACACCATACTAGCATATCAACCAACACAGCAAATTGGACTTGTTGGAAAGTGTAGAATATCATAGTCTCAAGACACACAGTAACTGGGATGTACATGAACACAGAGGGACACATGAATACAACAAGACAGACATGCAAGACACGTGAATGAACATCTGATGAATGAACATCTGAACACCGGGCACACAAGGTACACATACAAGGTACACATACAAGGTACACATACGAGTTGATGCTAGATTTTGATATACAATTAATGACTGAGTACTTTACTTACTCAGTACTTCTTAACTTCTTTCCAAAATGAATAACAAGTTAAACATGTATCAAGTACTCAGACAAACAGCACTCACACATGACTAACATTTATTTATAGATAACTATTTATAGGTTGACTAACACGTGACCGTCTATTTTTAGACGGGCTAACACTCCACAGAACCGTTAAGGCGTTCATCAATAGCGTAGCTGCCGGAAGTGGTCGTGGAACCATCGTCGTCCTCCTCATCCATGCTGTGGTTCAGCGTGGACAACCGGTGGTGCGCATGCGTGTACTGCTGGTGCTGCGTCAGCAGAGGATAACTGTTCTGCGCAGCTGGGGGGCGTGGTTTGCTGTTGCTGCTGCTGCTGTTCTGGAGCCGGTCGTGTTTGGCGATGGCGTCCCGGCTTAAAGGCACCTTAATCGTGTTTGGTTGGCTGTTGTTGTCACGTGATGTTAAATACTGCGGCCTCATTGGCTGAGACGGGTTGGCAAGAGGTGGGAAAAGAACCCCGTACCCAGGGGTTTGTTTTTGAGTGTTGATGTAAGAATTTAATTTCTTGTTATCAAACGCCTGTTGGGATTGGTTGGCGGCGGGGTTAAGGGTCACAGGGTTGTGGGTCACCGGATGCTGGATCTCCCTAGACCGGTCCATACTGGCTTCGTCGTCGGAGAAGCGGACTTTGCTGGGCATTTTTCTGGGCTTGTTGAAGTCGTTGTAGGAGCCGTACATCCGGTTGGCCCGGGCCAGGTCGTTTTTGTACTGGGCGGCGTCGCTGGGGTAGGGGTAGCCGAAGGTGGTGTGCTGGTTGGTAGCTGGGGGTCCAAACGCTACCGGGTCTCTTGGGGGTACACGGGGTAGGTTGATCATACCAGAGTTGTATGGAACTGGAGGGGATCCTGAGAGAGAGAAAAAACATTTTAAAATAACTTTTAATTCATTTTTTAAGTACGTCACTAAGACCAGCCTTTAGCTTTATATATAAAGCTTTATACAGCATGTACACCTGTATAGCTATTTAATTGTTTTCGTCCAGAATACGCGTGAAAGGAAACCTTAGACAATAGTCCAGCATTAGAGATCGAAGATCGAAAACTAAGAAAGTATCCATCATACAGGTCTAGCTTCTTTTTATCTAAGGCCTAAAGTGCGTTGTTACTTCTACAATAGTGTATAGGACGGGGAAAAAATCGAAGATCTGGTGTAGAACCTTAAAATTCGTTAACATTAGTTGAAATTTCGGCCCAGAATCGAGTGTTTATAAAGCTACTTTAGTTCTTCTACCTCAAAAGAACGTACAAATTACCAACAAGCCTACATACGAAATAATACCACAGCCTACACCCTAAGACTACAGAACTAACCTAAACCAATCATTTTTCTACAGAACTAACCTAAACCCATCAGTTTCCTACAGAACTAACCTAAACCATTATTTTTCTACAGAACTAACCTAAGCCCATCAGTTTCCTACAGAACTAACCTAAACCAATCATTTTTCTACAGAACTAACTTAAACCCAACATTTTTCTACAGTACTAACCTAAACCCATCAGTTTCCTAAGAGAATAGCCTAAACCCATAATTTTTCTTCAAGAATAAAAAAAAATCCCTTGTGTACCTGTAGGAGAGACTTCCTCGGTGTCGCTGGCACTACGGTCGCTGGTGCCTCGACCACTGTCGCTGGCAACTGTATCACCGGAAGTGTCGCTCCGGATGTCTTCGCTGGTGAACCTTGGTCGTCCCTGGAGAAATGAGAAAGACATGAATCAGTGCTCACGTTTATGCCAAGTTTGATAAGTTTATGTATTTAAAAAATCTGTAGAACTTTTAAAAAGGTGCTTTATTAATCAGCATATGCAGGGACGGTGCTTCATAATTAATTAGATGCCATGCAATATATTGGATGCATAATTAATTAGCTGCTATGCAATATTATATCCGATGCATAATTAGCAGCTATGCAATATTATACCTGGCTTTTATTGCTATAACCGGTTACCCGACGACTTTTCCCGGTAGTCAGTTACAAAATAACCATAATGGAAATCAGGGAAGTATGCAGGGGATGCAGATTTTTTTGTTCTTACACTCTTTAACACCTCGCAACCTGTACCATTGGCCCAATCCAAAGCCTGGCCGTACCCCTTGACCAACAGGTAAACAGACGTTCTAGTCTAACCCGTATCATAGTCATAACTCTAACAGGAAAACTATCATTTTAAAAACCCTCATTACAAAACTGTATTGCCAGAGGAAGTTGTTTCAATTTATTTTTCGATAAAAATCCGTTTCCTCTCTTAAAGTTCTTGAAATGAAGCCAACACAAAATAACAGTTATACTAACATTTAAGGGCGTATTAAAACAGTGTATTTCACGTTCAATCGGAATCGGTAGTTGTTTTTTTAAAAAAATCGTCTCTTGTGAATTTGTTGGCGATGTGACCGTAAGTGCTAGAACTCTCACCTACTCTCTAGTTTACCATGGCGCGCCCCTCCCCCTTCTTCTAGAACATGAATAATCTACCTCTCGGCACCGCGAGTTCATCAATAATTTGTCAATACCATCAGTTGCTTCCCCTTTGATTGTTGTTCCTCATAAAGACGGCCGATGTAGCCTGATCAGAAATCAATTTTTATATTCACTGCGTAGCTGCTCGATTACGGTAAACCTTTTAATGGAGTGGCCCGTTGTTGACATGACCAGAGGTAAACAAAACCCCGATTTAGTTCTTTTGTCCAGTGCATTTCCTTTCACACATCAGTAGTTTCTGTACCCCTAGGCTAGTAGGTAGTCGAGGATTTTCTTTTTCCCATGCCAGTGGCTTTTGTAAATTTAAAAACAAAATTCACTTTTTTTTCTTATATTTTATAGAATTGAGTTTCTTTAACGCAGGCCTAAATATTTTAATTTTTTTTTCCCAAACGAATTTATTCAGACGAAGAACTATTGTGTTAGTTGCCATAGATATTTTTTTACATTTGTTTTAAGAGTGCTTGTGTTATTTTAATAATGTGATTACTACCTTCTAGAAATATGATATGATTATTTGAAACATTTGATTATGTAAACGAGAACGCTAAAATGGTTCGATATTTTCCCTACAGGACTCTAGTTACCGAGAACGATTGTCTTGTTCTTTCTAATATTCAAATCGATGAAAAACATACTTATGTTGATTAGTGCTTACGGTATATTCAGTTCAGTGACTGCAAAAAAAAAAAAAAAAAAAAAAAAAAAAAAAAAAAAAAAAAAAAAAAAAAAAAAAAAAACCAACCCCCACCTATTCAACAAAGGACCACGTCGTGAACGAAAACTGTTGTTTAACATTAAAGTCGTGAGAGACCCCTCCGAGGCCTGAGACGATGGCTGGTGACCATGCCCTGATCCAGGTGATCTATCATACGTTTTTATCAAACAGATTTCACGAATAGCCCTCGGTGCGAAATAGATTAGCGTAGTACTGAGTGTGTGACCTCCCCTTTCTGGCTAGAAAAGGTGGCCGCACCCTTCAGATTTAGCGGTATAGGAGGGTATTGGGGAGGGGGCGTTAAGGAGATCCTCTAAATTAGGCAAGATGGTGTGGTTTAGTTTAGACTAGAATAGGTTTACGGGGCCAACGATTAACAATTGTATTGTAGAATTTATAACTTAATGTAGGCCTAATCACTTTGGAAGCAACATCTTTAATGTGACAATGAACGTCGTAGAGTTGGGCTTTATCTTAAGACAGAATGGGTTTCAAGGAACCCACTTTACCTACGCTATAGATCTGCGTGGATATTTAGCTAATGCCAGAATAGGTTTCAAGGGACCCACTTACCTACTCTATAGATCTGCGTGGATATTTAGCTAATGCCAGAATAGGTTTCAAGGGACCCACTTACCTACTCTATAGATCTGCGTGGATATTTAGCTAATGCCAGAATAGGTTTCAAGGGACCCACTTACCTACTCTATAGATCTGCGTGGATATTTAGCTAATGCCAGAATGGGTTTCAAGGGACCCACACTTTACCTACTCTATAGATTTGCATGGATGATTAGCTAATGCTAGAATGGGTTTCAAGGGACCCACACTTTACCTACTCTATAGATTTGCATGGATGATTAAGCTCTAGACAGAATGGGACCCTCTATTGAGACGAGCTTAAGTTATTTTTATTACAGTTTGTTGTTACTATTAACATAGTGAATAATTCAAGATAGTATAACTTGAGATAACTATCTAGTTGCTGGCAGTTTCAAAACAAACATGGCTGCCATTCAACGATCTTTATTGAAATAAAAACTGTAATCATCGAAGCGTGGAGTGAGGATGTAGTGGGTAGACTGGATGAGAGGATGTGACGTAATTTTTTTTCCCTCTTTCTATATCAGGCGCGATGCATGTTTTCTATAACAGGCATCCTGTTTCTCGTCTCGCTCCTGCAAGTCTTTGAGAGCCCTCGCTAGTGACAGAACTCCAGTCACTACGACGACAAAGACTAAACTCTTTCATCAGCTATCGGCAAAACACGAGTCAATAAATTGTCCTCTGATCAAGGCTTAACAAATCGTGCGGGGTATCGATTATGGCCCTTCATTGTCGCTGGTCATCGGGGCGGACTGTGTTGCTAATAGCAACCGTGCTAAACATCTTCTGGGCTCCTTATCAGGATGCGGCATCGTGGTACGTGTAAATGTACACAATACTGGTTTATATTGGTGAACTGTTTTAACAGAAACGACAGCGGAAAACCCCCTTCAGGCTCGGAGTTGTATAAAAAAAGTTTTCAAAAGAGAGAGTTGTGCGATTTCCTTTACTGTATGGTGTATAGAAAGATGTAGAGGTAGCGTTTTTGTGTTGCTATGGCAACAAGACGAGAGTCTGACAACAAGACTCCAGTCAACTGTATAACGAGATCGGCGTGTTCGAGCGGGAGAGCGTAACACTGACTCCAAAAGCCCCGAGTTCGAACCCCCGGGCAGATAAGGCTCTTTAGCACGGGATGTTAACACATCTAGGAAAGAAAAGTCCAAATTCATACAAATGCTGCCAAGCAGATAGTTCTTGTTTGGACAAAGACTATATAAGTAAATCCAACGCAATATGAGCATATTTAGCCAATGCAGTCCATAACTTCTCACGGGAATACGTCAAGTAAAATAAGTCATATTTAGACAGGTCAAAAAAAAAAAAAACTTACCTCTAGAAAGAAAGTGTCCAGGTTCATGCCTGATGGCTGATTACCGGAGAGCTTCTGATGGCAATCAAAGGACGTGTTGGTGTCCGCACCTTTCTGTCCACTAAACGGGAATTCCACCTCCTTGTCGGGGCTGCGGATCTTGAAGTCGTGCACGCCATTGAGATTCAGTTCGGGAATTTCCTTTGACAAGGGGCTGTGTCTATGCGGAGGGTCTTTGCTTTTGTATGCAGCTTCGGGACACCTAGCTTGATCGGTGCGTCTCAGGATTAGGATAATAACGACAACGATAACGGCGATGATGAAGGTTATCCCGGCGATGATGCCAGCGATGATGACGTATTTTTGGTCCATGCTAGCCATCTCGCTTAAAACGGTTACGTTGGTGTAGTCGATCTTGATAAACAGGAAACTGTCATTGTAAAGGCGAGGGCTGCCGCCATCTTGAACGGATATTGTTAGTCTGTATTCTGTCTCCCGGCTTTCTGTCATGGGTTTGTTGATGAAGATGGTGCCTGTTGAGTTGTCGATGTTGAAAATGTTAAGCGGGTTGCCTTCGACGATAATGTACAGGAGCCTAGCGTTCTGATCGGTGTCCCCGTCCACGGCGACGGCCTTAGCTATGATGGACCCGGGGGAGAGGCTGGCGCTGATGTTGATGAAATCGTTCCCTGGGACGGGGTAGAGAAATTGTGGGGTGTGGTCGTTGTCGTCGGCGACGACGATGGTGAGGGTGGAAGTGGAGCTGAAGGAGGGCGTACCGGAGTCCTGGACCATGACGGTGATGAGGTAATGGTCAACTGACTCCCGGTCAAAGGATTTGCTGGTCGTGATGACTCCTGACTCCGAGACGGCGAAGCTTCCGGAAGGATCGGTGATCAAACGGAACTTGCACACGGCGTTGATGCCGTCGTCCTTGTCTGACGCCACAATCTGCGCCACAAAAGTTCCGGGGTTTTGGTTTTCTCGGACACTGTACTCGTTCCGGACAATTTCCGGTTGGTTGTCGTTGACGTCATCGACGTAAATTAAAACAGTTCCGCTTCCGGTCATCGGTGGGGTTCCCAGGTCAGTAGCTAGAACGGTCAGGCGTATGACGTCAGAGACCTCCCGGTCTACAGGTGCTTGCAGGGAAACCCACCCGGTGAATGGGTCGATGGTGAAAGCATTGCTGGAGTTCACAGAAAGCTGGAATTTGAAATCTCCGTTTATACCTTCGTCCGCATCGCCTGCGCTGACTTTCAGAATGTTTGCAAGTTTTTCGACGTTTTCTTTGACGTGTACCGTGTACGGGGAGTTAATAAACACCGGGCTGTTATCGTTCACGTCTAGAAGGTTTACGGTAAAGTTAACCGATGAGGTCAAGCTGGGGGATCCCATGTCCGAGCATTTGAGAACCACGATCATCTCTTGCTGGGCCTCTCTGTCTAGCGCGCTCTGGATCTCTATAGCGAACCCGTGCTCCTCAAGCGGCTGTAGGACGAACTGCGGAGACGTGCTGACACAGCTGACCAACCCGTTATCCCCGTCGTCGTTGTCCAGGTACTTGAGGGTCCCGATGAAGGACCCCACGGGGAGGTTTTCTGAAAGGACGGTGCGGGTCTGCTGCAGGGGGTCAGCGAGGGTGAGGAAAAGTTTGGGCGGGGTGTTGCCGACGTCTAAGACATTGATGATCAGCACGGCCTGAGACGTCCTAGCTGGACTTCCCTGGTCTTTAGCCTCAACCACGGCTTGAAACTTCTCCAGGGATTCGTATAACAGACTGACCTTGACCGTGATGGCGCCGGAAGTTGGGTCAAGGTTAAAAGTCTGCAGGACTTTGCTGGAGGTGAGAGAGCTGAACTGGTAAGAGACTTTTCCGTTCTCGTCGGCGTCTTTATCGCTGGCGCTGATGACGCCGACAAGAGTGCCAATGTCTGCGGTTTCTTGGACGGTGAAGTTAAACGCCGTGGAGTTGAACTGCGGGCTGTTGTCATTGACGTCAAGAACGTTAACTGTCACTGCTAGAGTTCCTGTCAGCGCCGAGCTAGAGTTACCGTCCTTGGCGTAGATGAGAAAGTTGTACAGGCTTCTAGTCTCGCGGTCAAGGTTCTGTCGCAGCACCAACTTCAGGATAGAAAAGTCTAGAAGCTTCTCCTCTCGTAGGTCAAACACCTCGTTTTTGTTCATCCAATACGTAATTACAGATTTTAACCCCACGTCTTTATCGATGGCGCCGGAAAGTGACATCTCAGTTCCGATCGGCGCGCTTTCAGAAATATTTAACTGCAGGTTGTCTTTCGGGAAGGAGGGTGCGTTGTCGTTGATGTCTTCAATAACGACAACCACGTTCAGAATCTTGATCACCAAAACGTCGGATTTCACCGTGACGTCAAACTGCAGCTGGCAAGTGAGGGCAGACGTGTCGCAGACTTGCTCCCTGTCGATCTTGGCGTTGGTGAAGAGGGCGCCGGTGTTGCTGTTGATGGTGAAGAGGGAGGAGATCCGCAGCCCGTCGGAGCTGAGGATCTGGTACTTGAGCCCGGCAAACACTTCCGGCGTGACCTCATTTCTCAGCCCGCTCTCCTCAGCCACGTTGCCTATCAGAGTGTCCGGTTTGGACTCCTCTAGAAAATTGAATATTATATTTTTTCTCGTCTGCGCCAACGCTGACGTCAACGTCGTGATGAGAAGACACACGTGACCAAGTTTACCCAACCACGTGACTGCCATTTTTAGTCTCTGATCCTAACAGTTTCTAACAACTTTTTTAAAAAAAAATTGTTCTTTAAGATCCTCTCGTAGAAATTTTAAGCATCTTTCGTTTTTTTTAATTAAATCTGAAACGAAAAAAAAAACTAAAATAAATCAAAACATTAAAACAAAAATTTAAATCAAATTTAAATAAATCTTACATTAATTAAATCAAACTAGTAGGCCTATATTATTTAAAAAAAAAAACTTAACCGCTTCCTGTAAATAAAAATTCAAGCCATAAACTTCTCAAGCCCACTAAACTTTTCCAAAAGACATATCGCTTCATCACTTAAGACAATTAAAAAAAAAAATCAAATCCGTCGATTCTCGCTCGTGGTCAAATTTTATTCAATCTTTTCATCTATTTCACTCTTGGGGCTAAACGTGAAGCCCTCGGCTGAGTGTCACTCAAGAGATATCTATTCACTCAGACAGGGGCAACTGTACCCCTGCTAGTGAATAATGGTTTACCTCAACTGTTTGAGAGACTGGCCCGGTTGGTTAAGGATTTACGGCCAGCTTAAAAAAAGGATTTATATAATCCTGCACGCGTTAAGAACACGGGGATAAACGTTTTTTTTAAAACTGTTTTTAATAGATGGGAATGTATTTTTAACTGAGTATATGCATGTGCTGTAAGCAGATGTTTGTGAAGTGAATGCATGTGTGTTTGTATGTGTGTCTGCATGTTGCTGCATATTAGTATAATAGTTTACACACGTGTGTTATCTGGACGTGTGAATCTACATGTGTTTTACCATATACTAGTATAAGGTTAATTAATAAATATAAATAAGAATTATAATTGCATTATAGATATGTCTGTATGTTAAATTTTGCTTTTTTTTTAAAATCACATACCCAAATATATTTAATGGTTGTTTTGAAGACTTTGTAAGTTTGTTTAAAGAAAGTAGATAGACAAAAGATGTGGTTTTGAAAGCCACATGTGTTCAAAAACCACATGTGGGCTCTGACACCGAGCAAGGCTGACGTTTTAACAATCAGTTCAAGGCGATTCATCTCTTGGGCCGTTAAGTCTCCCCTACCCCCTACACCCCACCCTCACCAACACCGGCTCTATTACCGCCAGAACAGACGTCAAGCCAAATTGGCCAGCTTTTAAATATTATTTTAACTCGACTTTTTCCCCCTTAATGAAAATCCTGGCGTTTCCTGTTGAAAGGTAAACACCGCGGTTCGCCCATCCAAGGGCGGCAATCCAGCTTCGATGCCTGCGGATGAGCGAGAGTGCTCGTTGATGGCGGGAAACGTAAACCTCCGGACGACCAGCCGGCCGTGTGGCATGGTCACGTGGTGCTGGGTACGACCGGAGACTTCCTGTCAGACAACTCTTTTATTGCGTTAAAATATACAAATCTAGACAAAGGGAGAGAAGCAGGGGTAAACAAGGGGAGAGAACAAGAAGTAAACAATGATCAAATTGCGATCCGAACAAGCTTGACACTGGATAAGAGTTAAACTGAAGAAGGAAAAAAAAACAACCCGAAGACGAGTTTTGTTGATGTAGCGAGTAGCAATACATATGCTACACGGTACTCAGCTCTTGTTGATGCAATCTAGTGTCGTACTTTATATTATAGCAAGCAAAGTTATGCTAAAACTACCCTTGCTGTTACGTACACAACCTAACCCAATTAAATTTAAAAAAAAAAAAAATTAAAACGCGGCCACGTTAACCATTACTGTGTTTACATTTTAAACGTCTGAAGCCATTTCCTTAACCATTAGCTCCTGCAGTCATAAATATTTGTTTCGTAGCCCACTTGAAATGGGTTTGGGAAAAAAATAATTAAACTGACATTTGTTTCAAATGTTTTAAACTGTTTAAAATTCATGTACACAATATGTACATCGAGAGGAATTGTGAATGGCCATAAACATTTAAAACAATTTATTGAATTTAATCAATAAAGGTAACTACAGTAGGCACGGAGGCCTTTTTTTCACAAAAAAAACTTAAGAAAGAAAAGATAAACGTGTGAATTTCGATGCACAATTGTGTGTGTTTGAGGGGGGGGGGGGTAATTATTAGGGTGAACGTAAACAAATACGAGAAAGTAGATCAGAATTAGACCGTTCTCTTGTGGTAGTGTTGGGTTAATTTGTATTGGGATTGGTGGAGTTTGGTGGTGATGAAGTGGAGAATATACTTTATTTACTACAGAATGTAATTACCAATACAAAAAGTATTGGCAGAAGTGAAGCGTTGAAAAATAACGTAGCGAATGTACTTAACAGTTCACATAACTAAATCTAACGTTGTTGTTAATTTTCCACTGCGCGTCACATTAAGATAACGTTTAGAGTTTGGATTATAGAAGATAATAGTAAAAAGAATACTAACATTAGTAAAGCCTACTGGAGAAGACACGACTTACAATAAAAACTAACAAAACATATTTCTTACTTAGAAATAATTTCTTCTAATCATGCGTCTACACAGCGAATATATTCATTTTTCACGCTCAGTAATCCAATAATGCGCCGTGAAGCAGATATTTACATAAAATACTTTGATGTTGGTTGTTTGGTCCATGAGTTATAATACTAAACAATACCTAAGCGCTGTCTTTGTGTCTTTTTGTTCTTTTCTTTAAGAAACATAACGGAATATATTTTATTCTTTATGAAACATAACGGGATATATTTTGTTATGAAACATAACGGGGTATATTTTGTTCTTTATGAAACATAACGGGGTATATTTTGTTCTTTGTGTAAGATAACGGGTCATATCTTTACCATGGAGCATGGCGGTCACCTGGGGTGGGGGAACTCCCCCCCCCCCCCAGCAGGTACCGTTCAACACCTGCGTAATGACATGTTTTTATGGCCATCCATTGCTGACTCGAGGTGACGCATGCGTCATAACCTGACACAATGACTCCCGTTTAATGTCTGTGGTGCTTGAGAATTGCATTAACCGAGGCGGGAATATATGACAGTGTTTAAGTGATTGCTCAGGTTTTTTAATGTGTTGTTGATGAGGTCTGTATAAGTGGGGTGAGAATGTGATTCTGGGGGTTAGTGGGGGTAGGAATAAGGGTGTGGGAGGGGGTACTCGCGAGGTTAGGGATTGGGGTGTGTGAGTTTTATAGCATGCAAGTTGTACGCATAAAGACAGATTTGCAAAACGTATTAGAAGTGTAGCACATATTCACGCGCTGGTTCAAACTTCCAACAAAAACATGTTAATTGGGTTATGTCAAGCTACAAATACAGACTTGCCAAATTGGCAAAATATGGTTATCTCATCAATCATTTGGTTTTTTTTTCAGTAGTGGCCAAACGAAATGCTTTGACAGACTAGCTCTGTATGATGTAAATTAGATACGTCTTGATGAATGTATGGATTAGGTTGAAGAAACTAGTTAAAACATTATATATTGTATTGTCAGCATTGACGCTAAAAGCGTGTAAGTCTGAAGGTAATGTATACATCTATAGTGTGTAGGTTACACATCTGTAGTCTGAAGGTTACACATCTATAATGTGTAGTGTACACACTATCACAAAGACGTTCTAGAAGTTTCCGCGTGAGTGGACAAACAACCGACAACCCAGTTCAATGACCACTGTCCAGTCCCACCGACAGTGCTAGACACACGAACAACAACAGAAGATCACACAAATGCTCCAGATGGTACGGCTAAACGGTTAGTCCCCCGCCGTGTTGACACAAGCACTGGTCATCTGGTCAAGCCGCGGTACGTCTATTCCTTTTGTAGTCGCCACGCGCTAGACGTAACGACAACTGGACGACACGGCAATGGGCGTGGAGACACAATGGTCCAGTGTAAACAGTGGTCATGTGAACAAAGCATTGCCCTTTTCTGTTCTTCTCCGTGTTTTAGCGCTAGACGTATGGGGCAAGGGAAATACTGTGGTAGAGTGCGCTAGTTCACATGACTAGAAACAAGGGCTAAAGAAATACAACTCACAACTAGATCACAACATAACTCGTTGATTGGTTGCCCAACACTGACGTCATTTATAACAAGGTCACACTGTTTTTTCTTTATATGTATTCTTTAAAACTAATATTTTTGGACAGTATACGAAATACTGAAAGCTACAGAACTAGTATAGAAAGATATACAATACTACATCTAAATACTATATAATTAATGTGATTAAAAAATCATACAATACAAAAGGTATTGCATAGTACATTTATAACGCAACGCGTAAACTACAGATTTAAGGGGTAGATCTAAATCATATTATATTGTTAATACGAACTTTGTATTATTATGTATGAAAATTTGCATCCCGCCATTTTATTTAGAAGCCGAAAAAGCGCGGGCTTTTCCATGCGTGCTAAGGACGTTTTGATGCAACAAGCGTGCTTTTCTCCGTGGAGTTGTTGTTTCCCTTGCCCTGCTGATCAACGCTGTAGCTTTAGCAATAAACCTCATTGCCTTAAGTACACGACACAGCGACCGGAGTCGACAGTGCTATTTGCACGGCGGAATGGCCAGAGCCAACTCTGCTATTTGCACGGCTATTGTTTGGTGTTTATTTTCGTTTCACTTTTTTCTCTCTGGACAGCACGAGAATAAACCAAGGCACACCTTTTTTTCACCTGTAAACCGAAGTCAAGGGACAGTGCGGGCCTGTATTTAGACTAACGTGAGGGGGTGGGGGCGTGTTTGGAGTCGGGCCACGGGTCTGACTTGGCATCAAGGAGGGCCGTGTTGCCCCCGATGTTTGCGCCGATGTGACGTTTGTCTGTGAATTGAGATTGTCACAGCCCCAGGGACGTGACACAGGGTGTAGGTGCAGGGGCGGATATCAGGGGGAGGGTGACAAATAGCGGCGTCAGAAAGTAGTGTCGTCAGGAAATAGAATTGTCAGGATAGAGAGTCATTAGGCAACTGAGTCATCACAGGAGTCTAAAAAGGTCATCGGCAAAATGAAGTCAGAGAGACTAAAATACTACTATCGAGACTTAACTGACTCTCATAGAACGACAAGTGATAAGAATTATTCCCTAAGAGGGTTAGTTCATGATGTTGTGTCAGTGGCGTAACTTGGATTTTCGGGCCCCTAT